AACATAAACGGCAAAGTAATTAGTTCCGACCTCGAAGTAGCCTCAGCATTTGAAGAGTTTTTTACTAACATTCCTTTAAATACAACCAGCGTTTTAAGTTCATCACCATCAGCCGCCCTTTTATTATTGAAAAAGAATGTTCCTGTATGCAATCATAAGTTTGTATTTAGCCGCATTAGCTGCAATGACATTATAAAAACATTTAAACAGCTAAAAATAAAAAAAACTAAAGATCTTTGGGGTGTATCTGTTTTCATTTTACAATCAGTAATCAATACTATCAGTTCAGAGTTGGCTATAATATTTAATGAATGTATAGATTGTGGAGTCTTTCCAGACCAGATGAAGATAAGTAAAATCACACCGTTATTCAAAACGGGCAGCACTTCGGACCCCACAAATTTTAGACCCATATCTGTGCTGCCGGCTTTGAGTAAAATCTTTGAAAAAATCATTCTTGAACAATAATTGATACATTTTAATAATAATAAACTTATGCATAGCCAGCAGTATGGTTTTACAAGAGGTCGCTCCACAGCAGATGCTGGCATTCAATTAATTTCCGAGATTTTAAATGCTTGGGAAAATTCTCATGATGCCATTGGAGTTTTTTGTGACTTATCAAAGGCTTTTGACTGTCCATCACGAAATCCTAATCAAAAAACTTCAACACTATGGCATTGGCGAAAAAGCGCTAAATCTTATGGAATCATACCTGAGCGATAGAATTCAAAAGGTAAATGTAAATGGAGCTATATCACAGGGATCCTCTGTTACTATGGGAGTACCGCAAAGCTCCATACTTGGTCCCTTCTTATTCCTCGTCTATATAAATGACCTACCATTTCTTGTAAAGGAGCTTCACGAGATAGTACTGTTTGCTGATGACACTTCGCTTTTATTTAAAGTGAAACGACAAAATCCATCACTTGATAACGTAAACAGTGCCATCTCCAGTGTAGTTCACTGGTTTAATACAAATAATCTTAAGTTAAACGAAAAGAAGACAAAATGTGTTAAATTTGTAACTACAAATGTAAAAAGTAGTCATTCTCAAATAATAATTAAAGACGAGGAAATAGACTTTGTTGATAATGCGGTCTTCTTGGGAATTACTTTTGATAGTAAACTCCAGTGGGACCGACACATAGAAGGTCTTTCGAATAGGCTAAGTTCCGCAGCGTTCGCAGTAAAAAAGATACGCGATCTTACGGATGAGAACACAGCAAAGCTTGTTTATTTCAGCTATTTTCATAGTATAATGTCATATGGTGTTATTTTGTGGGGTAATGCAGCTGACATTAAATCGATATTTGTAGTGCAAAAGCGGGCTATAAAAACGATCTGTGGGTTGTCCCCCCCGGGAGTCGGTCCGAAGCAAATTTAAGGAATTACATATTTTGACTCTGGCAAGTCAATACATTTATGAGAATATTTTGTATGTGCGGAAAAATATAGATATCTTTAAAAAGAATAGTAGCTTCCATAATTATAGTACTCGTAATAAAGACAAAATTAGCGCACCAACCAGAAGGCTGCATAAAACGAGTAATTCTTTCCAAGGCAATTGTATACGTTTTTTCAACAAAATCCCTAGTGAGATACAAGCGTTGTCAATAAATAAATTTAAATCGTACATTAAAGTAAAACTGCTTGCTAAGGCTTATTATTATATAAATGAATATTTAAACGATCCTAGTGCTTGGATATGAGTTGCTCCAGTATATATTATAGGTAACACGACTGAATCTCTCGGCTGCATTTCCAGACTCTGGGGCGATCGTCAACATCCACGACTGTTTTAATGTAAAGTGGGAACAAACCGTGATCCATGTGGTATCCAATTATTTCAGTATTATTATTATTTTCTTATGTAGCCAAGTCCTCATTTCAAGGATCGTCATGCTCGCTTAAATGTCATTGCTTGTGGCGGCGTCCATGCGTCGGGTTGTCTCTCTCCCTAAAATATGGCGAGGGGGCCGATGGCTGGCCATGCGTCATACTCGTGAACGGGTGCTACTTGTGGTGACTGGTCGTACCTGAATTCGTGTATGCGGTGATGTTAATTATTTCGACTATGTGTTTGCGTGTTGTTCCCACGAGAATGTAAGTGCGTGCTCCTATTTCACCATGCCTCCTGCTGATAGGGGACAAGTCTTTGTTTTTATTTATGTTATTATTATTAATTACTTAAAATGTCATGTGGAACATGGTGTAATGGTTGCAGCTCCTTACAAACGTTGTGTAAATGTAAAATTAGAAGCATTAATATTTATTTCTTTAATGACGAATCACAAGTGTACATTGTGTTACCTACGTGAATAAATGATTTTTGAATTGAATTGAATTGAATAAATATTTGCTTTATATCACGAAATATTGACATCGCATAAATAAAAAGGAAAAAATGCGTAAATTACGTTTATTATTTGTTCCACAGATATTGCTTCTACTGATATCAATACGAATGTTCCATTATTTCTTGAATTCTGACTTATCGTGGAATTTATTTGATAGTACATTTTACATTGGTCTTAACGGCTACCATAATCGACCACTATCTTACTAGTACATATAATATTTTGTTTCCAATATTTAGTCGGTCTTTTTTAAATAACAAGTGAAGGACATCCATTCTTTAACTTATTTTATTTCCATGAATGCAATTTATGCCCTACTAAGTCCAAGTTTGGACAAACTAAACCAGTTTCAATGTGGATTGGGTGGTTATAAAACGCAATACTGAGAATAATCCGTCAGGGGCCAACTCCTGTTTCTTACCGCTAACAAATTCAGCAGGTAGTTAACAATATCCAGTTGCTATTCAAAACAAGAATTAACAGTGGTTACCAGGAGAAACCAGTTGTTAGTAACCGAAAAATAATCGATTTACTACAATTATTTAGTGCCTCCCTTCCCTTCATTTGTCCCACCACAGAGGTATACAGACATTGGAAGGTACTCTCTGTGCGTCAAATGTTCATTCTTGCCACAATTTTCGCAAGCACTCACTTATCAATTATGACCAACACCTTAAAGATAACAAGCGTAGAAAAGGCATAGTGTGCACTTCAAAGCCCTTTCGCACAAGTTTTGCCCAGAGATTCTTCTGTTTTTTGGGGGATTACTTGTATAATAAGGTCAACTCTTCCGTTTCCAAATATCCCCTAACTAAACATGAGTGCAAGAAGACGGTTGCACTGTGGCTACTGGACCTCAACTATGAGGAAACAGAAAAAATGCTAACAATAATTAAATAGTTGAGTTTAAAGCTGATTCTAACCTGTTAATAATAGGGAATAAATTTTTAGTATAATAGTATTAGCTTTACTAGATTTACACTTAAGTAATAAATATAAAACATACACAGACACACACCCACACACATACACATAATTTACACATACACACATACCCCATGTGGTTTCCTTAAATATTGTAATGTATTGTATTGTATAAGATTTGCCTTCTTAAGATTCTGCCGATCCGTAGTGGTGGAGGCCTGATGACCTGTAACACAGGTACTCTTACCTTTAGCAGGCATCAGTCTCACACAGACTAGCTTTTTCCATTAACAGAAGTAAGAATATAACTGTCACTTGCTTATGTCCTAAGTTTAAGTTTTTGTGAGAAAATAAATAAATAAATAAAATTATCAATCAAAATTAATCATGTTATGAAGAATTCATGTATGTATATGAAGAAATAATTAAAGATTTAATATTGTTTAATTGTTTATATAGGTATAGTAATTAACTACATATATATGTAGTTAAAAAATTCAAAACAGTGCGTGGAGTCCCTCCGCGCGGAACAAGTGAAACTTCGTAATGTGGAAATGAAAATAGGGAGGGGTAGAAATTGATTTTTCGTGAAATCATATTGTTTCTTTATGACGCATTAGTGCTTTCATACCCCCTCCATGGTAGCGTTAACCGTTTAACGCTACCTTGTTGGAAGTGGCATTAGAAGTTTCACTTTAAAAAGTAAATAATAATAAAAGTATAGAGATCGGTCCAGCCGTTTTCGACTTATGTGTTCGACAAAAACCGGACTTTGTTTTATATATTAAAAATTATCTAGGTACTCTCATGATATTATGGAAGATATAGCCGAACCGAGTGACGCAAATAAAAAAAACTTTATACAATTTAATGAATTGATTATATTACTAATCAATTCGTTAAATACTTTAAAAAATGCAGCGTTGGGCGACGATGCCCAACTAATCTCTGAGGTTCGAAACGCGGCTGCGCACCAATTGACTTTTAATGTCCGAATTTAATACTCGCTCGTACGTCAGGAAAACATCGTCAGGAAAATCATACTTTAGTCCCAGAAACTACGGCGTGAGCCAGAAGGCTAATCACCTACTTGTCTATTAGAAAACCAGACGATAACGTTACAAAAATCTGAGGCCCAGACATTGAAGGTGATGTAGCGCCATTGGTATGGTTTAACTTTAATATTATTAAATATATCACAAACTAATCTGATATGATAATGTGTTGTATAGTGGAATTTTATTCTTTCCTACTCGCATCTTTATAACATCGTTTTACATTAATTATTATGCTTTAATGAATGAGAATAAACCCCCAAAACTTTTTCTCTAAGCTTATCCAACAAAAGCGCGGGTATTCTTGTCAGATTGTTTGAAATAGTACAAGTAAAACAAAACAAAGGGCCACCTGCTATGAATGTGAAGAAAGCAACAATACAGCTCATAATCGCTCTTAATGATAGATCGTGTGAAGGCAGCCGTGCCTTTGTCTGGGATGAAAAAATACCTTTCATTGTAATGATGATATCGAGCGGAAGATGATGAAACTATTTTGCAACTGTAGAGCAATGCTTTAACTGTAAACATGTAGTCGCTATTGAAACATACTTCAAGTCTCAATTAGGATGTAAATCATAAAAAGGCGTGTAATAGGCCTAAAAATTTATTATACAAATAATTAACGTAAGACTTATGATTTAAAATCTAAATAAATGAGTTAACGTCGACAGATGCACAATAGTTGCGCGTTGCAGCTGCCCGTGCGCCATCCCAGACTCCTGCATACAGATTGACACAACGCGGCCGTGCAGATCCGTTGACGAGCGCCGTTCAACATCTCCATTGGTTCCATGGCATCTGCTGCCAGTTCTGGTATCTCTACATCCTGGCTTTCTATAGAGCAAAAATATATATGAAACATCCTTAAATTATACAGATTGATTGATGATGAAGATGTTGTTTTTTTTTGTTGGGATGGGAATGGAATAAAATAATTAATGTCTTTATTTTTATATTCGGACTTTTAAAACTCTATAAAATGCCGCGTTGACAGTATTAGACAGATTCTTTTATAATATTGTCATTTGTCAATAATAAAGTATTTTACTTTATAAAATACAATGTAAATTAACTTACCAATAGGTGAAGCCTGTGTGATGGAGACGAGAGCGGCAAAGATTGCAACGAGTAAAAGCTTCATGTTTATTTATGAGTTTATTTTAATCAGTCCTGAACACTTGTAAAGAATATGATTGTTAGCTTACAAGCGTCGTATTTATATGTAATTTAAGTAGGTTTCCTGAAATCTAATCAACGATGTCCTACTTGTTCTTCAATCCATTCGTTAATCGGTATTATTATAATCTTCAGGGAAGAACCTAATAAAGTTGCAGTAACAGTTTTTGTTTCTTATCTTTGCTGATATTCTACCGTAGGCTGTAGACTATACGGTAGAATATTTATATGAAGCTGTTGTCTTTAGAGGCACCGGGTTTTGATGGTGATCTCGATCGCAATTGTTCATGTCTCGTGGTCAAATGTTTGGGAATGTCATCGAATGATTAGATCTTATCCAATCAAATACAGGCAGTCCGCGTACTTACGGCGTGTTAGGTTCTCGAAATACGCAACGTAAATCGAAACGACGTAAGTCGAGACATATTTTTCCACACGGACTCGAAATTAAAAAAAAACTGCATTTTTAACAAAGGATATACTTTATACTTTGTTATCAAAAGTAAGTTCTTTAAATAATTATATATGCACTTATGAAATTGCTATCATACAGATCTTGGTAACACTGATAGGCTTCACAAATTTTGTTATTAACGTTGAAACTTCTCTGAAAATTAGGATCTTTTTTTTTTAAATTTTCATCGCATTCTCCAAATTTGCACAAGACAAGTGAATTCTCCTATGCCGGAAATCGAAACAAATTACGTATGATTGAGGAATAGTGTCAAGACATTGTTCGACGTAACTTGAAACGACGTAAGTCGAGGACTGCCTATATTGAATATTTAGTTTTTTATTTAGTTTTACAGACTAGACAGACAGATTGGTTGCTACGCTGTACACCAAAGTAAGAAATCTTTTAGCAGTGAATGCAATATAAAACTATATATTATATTGTGTGTAGTGGATCAAATAAGTTTTGGTCTAGTGACTTGGGCGTGGGAGGCCCTAACCTAACACTTGCTTGTACTGAGAAAATATACATCGTATAGAATCCGGCATAAATGACTTAAGCTACGGTTACGGCTAGAAAAACGTAGCTTTACAGACATGAAAGAGTTGGTTGTCCATAAAATAAAAATAATAAATATGTCCAAGAGCCATCCATGTAGTGGCACCACTGGTTTATTAAAATTACTATTAGTGTTCCGAAATCCTATTAGTGTAACAACTAATTGATAAAATGCCCATTATTGTAAATATGTATGTATAGATTTCTTAGCAAACATAAATGCAAATAAAAGTGGCACAAAATTAAGAACTTGTGACAAAGATTTTATTTTATCTTTGAAAAAAAATGAGTCAGTTTCGGGGATTTACAAGTACCTTATCGTATTAATGTTTACAAAATGTATTTTTGCTACAATCTTATCATATCATCTGTATTAAAAGAGTTAATTGTAGATTATGTAAAGAATTTAATATTGTAAACAAATACGGTACAAAGTAAACAAACAAATAAAATTAATCTAGCTTGCGTTTCTAATCTAAGAGGCAAAGTATGTTTGTGTATTAGCGAAGACAATTACCGTATTTTATTTTATAAGTTAGAACAGAGCAAGAGCTGTGTTGGCCTAGTGGCTTCTGCGTGCAACTCTCATCCCTCAGGTCGTAGGTTCGGTCACCGCCTGTGCACCAATGAACTGTCTATGTGCATTTAACATTCACTCGTACGGCGAAGGAAAACATCGGGAGGAAACCGGCTTGCCTTAGGCCCAAATAGTCGACGGAGCCAAATCTAAAAAGGTTGTGACACCACTGGTGATATGAATATGAACTAGCCATGTATGTCAAGTAATCCATTCTCTTTTTCAAAATAAAACAGCATGTGTTTATCATTAACAAACAAACAAAACAGAACTTTGTGTCCCGTCTGTGCATTTTTTATGCGCAATTTGCACATTCTTGTATGGAGAAGGAAAAAATTATAATTAAGGCTACTGTGTGTGTGTAAAGTCTGTGAGTGTGTGTTACACCTTCTTGCCTGTATAAAATATAGCAGAAGTCCGAGTCCAAGAGCGTCTCTCGGATTATTTAGAGATAAACTTTTATATCCTTATATATTTCAACTGAAATTCAGGATTTTGTAATGCCCTTTCCCAAAGCAATAATAAAGTATACAAATAACATATTATGAAGTCAATGTAGAGACAAAAGAAAGTATGTCGTATAACAGGGATTTTACCTGCAGATAATTGATGATTAAATATGATTGATTAATTGTATTGCACATTACAAGTAGGACATCATTGATTAGATATCTTTTAACTGTCTATCAAATGTACATATAAAAAGGATACATGTGAGCGAGTAAACTTATTCTATTAAAAGTGTTTAGACAAAACTAAATAAACTCAATCATAAACATGAAGGTTTTAGCCGTTGCTCTATTTTTGGCCCTCGTGTGCATCACACTGGCTTCACCTACAGGTATGTTTTTTTTTAAATTTCTTGAGGCGTCTAAGGGTGAGATTCAAAAACTATGACCACCGCATGTCCATTGCAATATATTTATGAAAATATTATGTATGTATACAAAAATAGTGATAAGTTTACTAGAATAGAACATACGCACAATGTTAATACTCGGAACAAACGCAGGCTGCAATTTCCCCGTACTAGACTATCTAAAGTTAGTAATTCTTTTTTGGGAAAAGGGAATACTCTTCTTTAATAAAATCCCAGAGGCTCTTTTATCTCTGCCTTTTAATAAATTTTAGAAATGTATTAAAGAAAAGCTGTGTAAAAAGGCTTACTATAAAGTTAACGATTATCTAGTTGATAAAAGGGCCTGGGACTAGTGCTAGACAGGCTCCTTCTAATTAATTTGCGATGTTTGTTTTAAAATAAGTGTTGTTTGATGATTTGCTATTTTAAAAGAGTACCGAGAGTTTTTTACGCCGGCTTTTTCTCTCGGCCTACACCCTCTGTCTTCTTTGCCGATGAGTAGGGATGCCTACAAATACAAATTTAATGACGTGGAATAAGTGATACATGTATCTTATGTTCCATAATAAACATATTTTATTTTATTTTATTTTATTTTATTTTATTTTATTTTATTTTATTTTATTTTATTTTATTTTATTTTATTTTATTTTATTTTTTTTTATTTTATTTTATTTTATTTTATTTTATTTTATTTTATTTTATTTTATACCCATTTCAACCATCATACGTTTTTGACGTATAGGAAACTGCGCTGAAACTCATATTTTACTCTTGTGAGTCATACACGAATATATAATTTTTAAAGTTAATCTCTTTCAGCTGAAGATTTAGACAATCCACAACTGTCTGTAGAAGGCATGGAATCAATGGAGATGTTAAATGGCGCTCGTCAACGCATCTGCACAGCTGCGTTGTGTCAATCTGTGTGCAGAAGTCTGGGATGGCGCACCGGTAGCTGCAACGCCCAACTATTGTGCATCTGTCGACGATAACCGTTGTAATTCTTAATTTAACTTTACGCTAATTTTAAGGTATTAATAAATCATTAGGCCTATTTCTTTATTTTATTTCCATTGATGTCCAAGCACTGATTAAATATATTTTTTCAAAATATTGCACCTTGTACAATAAAAATATATGGATCAACCACAATCATTTTCAATAATGTTCGCACAGTGTTAGGAAAAATATGAATAAAATTATATTTCCATAATATGTGACTACTAAAATTTCATTTCGCTTCGCCAATGTCCCCCTTTAATACATTGGTAGGTAATTAACACTGAATGATGAGGTTTTTCTAGCTTTGCTACATCCTCGGATGTGCAACTATGGACTTTCTGTCTATGTCCGCATTTAACACTCGCTCGTAAGGTGAAGGATATCATCGTGAGGAAACCGATATGCCTTAGATAAAAAAAGTCATAGTATGACAATGTATGATATCTAAGATTACTGCTTCAAAAGTGTAGTTATCTTAAAATGTCATCGTAAAGTTCCTTTAAGTGATTAATATAATCACAAAACATGTCTTCAGCGGGAAAGATACTCCAAGGTGCTTTTGGCGTTACCAAAATTGTATGAATCGCGCAAATTTCCTAGAATTAGCCACTAAATACCTAACTACGATAAATGTATCTTTGTAATAAATTCAATAGGTTCAAGTTTACTCACGTAATTAAACCTTATGTAATAACCATCCTATGATTTTGTGATCTTACATGTCTAGATGTAAAGTGCAAAGCATGAAGCTGTGCGGGGCGCGTGACTAGCTTTGAACTAGAGCTGTCGGTGACATCAAAGAATTTTGTGCATTGTTCAAAATTTGTTATATTATGTTGAATTTACGACTATTATTTTGTGAATGGAAATTATTATTTTATCACGGGAGGGCCTCTAGGTCTTTTGCCTACTATGACGACATCTTTTCGCCCAAAAGCGTAACACAAAACGGCAACGTCTCGTGTAAAAATTGTCAATCTATTTTATTTTTATTACATACAATATGTTGTTTGTTGTATAAACGAATAAACATTATTGTTAACAACCGGCTTTACAGATTTAATTCACGTTTTACAAATGGTATTAAATCGTTAAGCCCTAAAAATTATCATGGCAACGGGACGCTAATATATATATATATGTTAGCTATCCTATCTTTTAAGTTAGATCAAACTGCACACGGTATGCAAATTTGATTGAAATCGGTTTAGTAGTTTGGGAGTCCATAGCGGACAAACAACGTGAGGCGTAATTTGTATATATACAATTAATATATATATTAAATGCAATGTAAATATTAAAAAAATGTCTGTGATAGGCAATCATCGGCGATGATTGTACGTAATCGCCGTTGTGTCGGTATACAATTTTTTTTTTCGAACATTTTATGTGTCATTTATTTAACATACATAAATTATACTTGCTACTACATACATTACTGTCAGGATAGACGTCATATCACAACAGTAGACAGTCTGTAAATGAACGTTCACGATTGTGTTGAGAGTTGCC